TCTCACCTCCCTCTCCCTCTCTCTCCCTCCCCCTCTCCCTTCCTCCCTCTCTTCCTCCCCTCTCTCTCCCCCTCTCCCTCTCCCTCCCTCTCTCTATCTCCCACTTGCTTGCGCCCACTCTCTATCAGTGTTGGCACACACTCTTCTCAGAAGCAGCACTAAACTAACTTGAAGTTAGTTTTTGGCCTTGCATTGAGGAAACTCAATAAAACAAGTTCCAACTAGGGATGTTCTTTCTGTTTTTTCTCGCAGTCCTTAAATTTCAATGACTTAACCCACGACTGGACTGTCATCAGAGGAGTCAAGTGGTTCCTCCAATGCTATGCAAAATCAGGGACCAAGACCAGGGAATAGATTTGTTCCATTGTCATGTAATTAGTTTCTTCTGTGTACTAAGTCTGACATCTGTTGTGTTGTGTTTTACAGTGTTGTGCTGACTGCCCTGCAGTACTTCTCCCAGGCTCTGACAGAAACATTCCTCTTCATGTTTGACCAGCAGGTAGGACTCAACTCACAGTTGATTTATTTATGAAGTTCACAAGGATGGGAGGCATTTGGTAGGGCGTTTTACCTGGAATCCATGGGTCCTGGGTTTGATTTAACCTACTTGCCCCAATGAATGTGCCCTTGGGAAAGGCTTTCCTCACTTCCTCACTTTGCTCAGGTGAAAATGAGTACCCAGATTCGGTTAGAGACATCCTTCGGATAGGACGTAAAATGGAGGTCCCATGTTTTGGGGAGAGCCACACCGCATTAAAGAACCCACCACACCTTTCGAACAAGAGTATGGCCATGCCCGGTGTGCGATGGTGCAAATTCTATAGTCTGGAGTCTTGCCAAGAATTAGCATTCCAGAATGATAAGTATGATGATCGTGGACATTAATAGCCTCCTTCGCAGTCTTGTTGGGCATCTGCGTTATTTTTTTCTGTGAGCGACGCAAGTAATATGCCGCCGCGAGGGACGATTTGCTGCCGAGGGAGTTTTTGCCGCGGAGAGAAGGATTCGCGTTGAGTTGAGGCTAGACATTAAAGGGAAGGAAAGGATTGACATGCATGTAACAGGTGACTATCACCTCTTCCAGATGTCAAACCTGAGACCAGACAGTCAGGATCCCTACTCTTTCTGATAAGTGTGGTGAGATCTTTAAGATAGCCTAGCGGTTAGTGCGTTGGACTCTAGAGGTGGCAGCCTGCATTCGATTCCTGGAAGCCAGGAGATGTTTTAACCTGTCTCACTGTTTCATGTTTCAGCTGTGGAGCAGCTATTTTGGCCTTGCTGTAGCCTTCCTCACCCAGGCTAGTCTGCAACTGGAGAGTTTCACTGAAGCAAAGAGAAACAAGATCCTAGAAAAGTAAGGAGACATACTTCTTATTCCAACACCCAACTCTAGTGTCTGTTGGCTTGTGCTCTTTCCAATTGTTTTTATGCTTTTTAGTTGACTTAAGTCATGAACAATTTGCCAGATTTTAAGGTCTACCCCATGCCCGTAGCCAGGGGGGGGGTTCGGGGGGTTTGGAAGAACCCCCCCACAAGGCTCAAAGGTCCACTTTTTTTGTAAAGGTCGACTTTTTGGTCCACTTTTTATGTAAAGGTCCAAGATTTTTCTTGAAAAGATGGACTGGAATCGTAGAAAAACTGCTCCCTTTGTCATTGAATGAAGAATTATCTCTGATTTTTTTCTTGGAAATCCTCTAAAAAATGCACGAAATGCCATTTTAGAAGGTTCATTTTTCAAAATTTTCCGGGGGAGCATGCCCCCGGACCCCCCTAGG